TCAAACCTACTTAAAACCTGCTTAAACACCATAAAACCTTATAAAAAACCCTCAAACTTGCTCAGACAATCTCAAACCAGCTCAGACAATCTCAAACCTACTTAAAGCCTGCATAAACACCATAAAACCTTATAAAAACCCCTCAAACTTGCTCAGACAATCTCAAACCAGCTCAGACAATCTCAAACCTACTTAAAGCTTGCTTAAACACCAGCAAACCTGCCCAGAACCCCTTAAACCTAAAACCTGCTTAAACACCATGAAACCAGCTCAGACAATCTCAAACCTACTTAAAACCATCGTCATCTGCCTGATGTCATTGGCCCGATCCGCCCGCCTCCAAACAGGAGGAGAAATCCGTCTTCACTGAGAAGGACTTCCAGAAGTTCCAGAAGGAATATTTCTCAAATCTCTAACGTCTGGGAGCTGATGTGTGCCGTGGGACAATAACACTTCATCTCGGACTGCAGATACACTGTTTGACTGAATAACAGTGACTGACTTTTGACATTTTGTTTAAAAAATGTTGAATGTGTATTTTGAGAAACAAGGAATTAATAAATGGAAATGAAAGCAGAGACCTGTGTAATACTGCTGCTGTAAAACTGAAAGTTACTAGTGTGAACCGAGTACAGAGACTGACTATCTGTTTTTTTTAAAGTGTTATTAAAATGTGTTGAATTAAAGCGATAGTTCATCAAAACTGAAAATACTCTTCATTTATCAGTTTCAAACCTGTATGAGTTTCTTTCTTCTGATGAACCCAAAAGAGGATATTTTGAAGCATGTTAGTGAATAAACAGTTGACGGTACCCATTGACCTCCACAGTATCCATAAAAATGCTATGGAAGTCAATGGCTACCAGCAACTGTTTGGCTACGCACATTATTCAAAATATCTTATTTTATATTCAACAGCTGAAAAAACTCATACAGGTTTGAAACATCAGTTTTTAACGATGACAGAATAATCATTTTTGGGTGAACTATATCTTTAAGCTATTTTTCCCTGTTTTTTAAGATGTAGGCTATTATCTTTCAATGTCTGCATGCAACATGATCTTCTGCTAAAGCTGCGTGAACACTCGAGACGCTCTGATGGAGGGTTGCACTTGTATAAGATCCATATATATATATATATATATATATTACATTTTATCATGTATAAATATCTGTTCAAATGTAATTTATTGCTGTGATCAATGCTGAATTTTAGCATGACTGCAAAAAATGATTTTCTTGCTTAGTATTTTTGTCTTGTTTTCTAGTATAAGTATCTAAAAAATCTTGAATCAAGATGAATTTACTTTACAAGTAAAATGACTTCAGATATTATGTCTTGTTTTCTGAAAAAATTGTCAACATTTTGTTAAAACAAGAAAAAGTATCTGACAATATACCTTTAATATATATTGCCAATATACTTTTGTGACTAAATACATTTTTTAAATAGAGATAATATTGTTAAAAGCTCGTTTTACTTCATATTCATGGTGTCCCAAAATAGCACAGTTGAATACACTTAGATGATCTTAAGAAGTACTAAAGAATAATTTTTAGTAGGCCTATATTAAGTACAAACTTAGTGCGCGAAAACAGAGCACTTGAAGTACATTATAGTGCACTTTTAAGTAGTCCTTAATGTTCACTAGAGGTCAGACTCCTACAGTTTCTGACAGCTGTTTTACTCTCGTGTAGGCATGCATTCTTGTGTTGTGCCTTTGCAAAAGTGTCAAAATAATAATAATAACAAGATTTTCCTGAAGTACTGGCATATTGTGAGCACTGCATGTGTATTTAACACTTCCATGAATAGCTAATCATATCGTAAGAGTAAGAATTAGCTACTTTAACTTAGCATAAACCTCGCTTGTCAATAAAATCTGAAAGTAGGCCTATATCGCTCTTAAAAGCTGTCCTTTATTCGGACTATCTAATGTATTAACGTAATTTCGACGACTTTGTTTCGTGTCTGAGCGCGCGCATCTCGTGAGAACGTAAATATTTAGGCACTATTTGTTAGGTGAATACTGACCGGCGCAGAGGCCAATCAGCAAGCAGACACTGGCGGAGTGATACACGCGGCGGAAGCGCACTGTGTGGGTGTGATGCGCGCGTATATAAGCGGCGGCGCTGCCGCCTCTCTGTTTTCTCTCCCGAGCTCCGGTCTCTCCGTACGCAGCGCTCCCGCGGGAATCATGGCAGTCTAGCGGCGTGCAGCGGCAACAATCGCAGCGGCGAATCCGGCAGTGCAGCGGTCAAGTGCACTGGCTCTATTTGGCAAAATGGCGTAAGTATTTCTCAGTATTTGTTTTAGTGGTGTCATAATTAACTTAAGTATGTCACGAGCTCGTCGAAGTTTTTGAAAGAGGTTGTATTTGTTAGTATTAGTTTTGACAACTAGCCTAGTTTGGCGTTTTAACAGTTTCGCAGTGTAAAGTGTTTTCGAACTATCTCCGTTTGTTTTGATTCTTCCGTCGTCATTTGCCAGACTGACAAGCGCTAATCCATGAAATAAACATTAGGGATTTGTCGCGAAGCGGCAACGTGGCGCCTCAAAATGGCGCGCGCGCGCTCCCTCCGGCGCTGAAAATGGCGTGAGGAAGTCAGGGACACCTTCATCTCGCGCAGGAACCGGGGGCGGGGCTTCCCGTACTTATGACCATATTAGGAGATGTTGTCGGGGAAATTCCTGCTTAGAGTGGAACTACTAATAATAGTTGCTAGGAGGCGGTGTTTAGGGCTGGTAACTATTAGTGATGGGAAAGTGTGTGTGTGAGTGAGTGTGTGGGCAGCTCGAGTTCCTCCCAGATGGCATCTAGTTTGATAGGCCGGTTTAACTGGAACGCCTGTAGACGTTTAGAGACTGGTTTACGGTGCTGGTAATCACAACTGGTTATCCAGTGCGAGGAAGTGAATTAAAAAGACCATTTTTGTTCTGTTGAATCTTCCCTCCAGCAAGGGTTGGGAATCGAGAACTGGTTCCTCTTTG